ACGTGCTCCAGAGAAACCCTCATGCCTGCTCCACTCAATAGTCCTCAGTCACTCCTCCCGCCAGGCACGGGCACCGCTTACAGTGGGGGTCCAGTGCTTCTTAAGGTCTGCAAGGCACTTGCACAACTCCGAAAGCCTAAAAGTGAATTAAGACAACAGAGGTAATATACAAAAGGCACCATGAAGACAGGATGTTTCTGTGCCCAGCCACTAAGCCAGCAGGCAGGGCCGAGCTCCGTGAGCACGCCAAGGTGGAACAGGGTTAAGAATGTGACAAAAAGAGGAGCAAGAGTCAGGATCTGAACCCAGACCTCCTGTCCTGGGCTCACCACAGTGGCCACCAAAATCACTTGGTATAGACAGTGTCTAGTCCATACAAGGGGACCAAACCGTCCCTGTCTACTCTGTGGAGCAATTATTCCTGCAATGGGCCACACCCCCTCATGAGAACACAGTCCATGCACCCAACTACCTATTAGATAATATCCCTGGAAGTCTCAGGGTCCTTCATCAGGCCCTCACAAAGCTGGTCTTTTCCCAGGTCGTGGCACCTCCATGACTGGCACCCACAGCCACCCAGTTGCTGAACCTGAGCCCTTTCTTGGTTCTTCCTTCACACTCACATCTCAGATCCAGTCCATCACCAAGCCCTGTCCTTTCATCCTCCTAAAAACGTCTTGATACAAACATTCTCTCCATCCCTACACTAACTCACACGACCGGTATCTCCCAAAACTCGGAACTATCCCACCTCCGCCCTTGCCTCACCCCAGTTTGGCTTTCATGCTGCGTGCAAAGCGATGGTCTTAAAACATAAACCTCATCATGTCAGCCTGCTTTTAAAATTCGTCCGTTGCTTTTAGAAGGAAAAGCCAAAGTCTTGGCCTGACCCATGAATTAGGTCCTGCAGCTCTGGCCCCATCTCTTGACACCGTCCCTGCTTGCTCTCTGTGATCCTGCTATTATACATTAGACTTTCTTATTTTTTTCTGTAAAATTTTCGAATATCACACATATACAAGCCTGCATAACATAGATGTATACATTTATAGAATAATTCTAAAACCTATACCGCCACCACCTGGGTTAAGAAACAGCACATAGCCAGATCTCAGATCACACCTCCCTCTGCCCATCTCTGCCCAGAAGTAACACCTTAAACTCTCTGATCCTTCCTTCTTACTTTTCTTTGTATATTACCACTTAGGGTTATGTCTCTATAAAACAATGCTTAGTTTTGCCTGTTCTGAATTTTATTTCGTTGAGCTGTACTGTAGATGTTCTTGTATGACTTGCTTCTTTCGCATTACATCAATATCAATGCACAAAGCTATAACTCATGCCTTTTCATTACTGCCTCCTTCCTGCCCTGCATCTCCTCATGCCCAGGACTAGCTCACCTGGCTGTTGGTGCTTCTGCTGCCTCCTGTACCTCACGGAGACTATGGGCATCACTGATCCAGCCTCTAGCACAGGACCTACATGTAGCAAGCCCTCAGCACTCATTCGTGCACTTACGCATACTTGCATTCATTCACATGTTAGCAGTTTCTCAGGACTGGTCTATGGTGCTGCAGTGGCATAGTGCAGTCTTGAGGAAGAAAATGATCCTCTCTAAGTAAATAAAGGCATCCCCCCGACAGGAATTGCCAGGAAAGCCAGCCCCACAGCTAGACACAGAAGTCTGCTCACTCTCACCTATGAGACGCACGCCCAGAGAGGATGAGCCTGGGGGTGGATCCCGGGTGGATCCTCCGGCTCTGAACTGCTCAGATTCCACCCTCTCCCTACTCTCCCATTAGCCTCTGTGATGAAGGTTGCAGAGGGCGCTTGGGCTGCTTGAAGTGAAGGAACAAATGGAAATTGCATGAAAAGAAAAGGAAGGAAAGCAGTTGGAGAGCACTGCCAAACACTTGGTGTAATAACCAAGGGCTTTCAAATGATGACTGAAACTGGCCTTCATGTTGATCTTTCATTTCTGATAATCTAACAGATCACTGGAAGAAAATCAAACCCATCCTCATGGTGGAAGATGAACCTGGCACTGCCGTAGCTCTCCTCCCACTTTACCCGCTCTTCCTCCACACTTTTTCCCTCAAAAAAAAAAAAAAAAACCTCCAGGTTACATATATTGTTCAATTTATTTAAATACATTCAGATTGGATATTTTCCATGACAAATACTTTCTTAGGAATAAGCAACATATTCCCTCTCTCCAAATTAAGAACTTCTCATTGCTTTGCAGGTTTAAAAACATCCAACTGAAAACTCCCTTTTATGGATCGAAAAAAACCAAAGTACAGAGAGTGGGAGTCTCTGCCCCATTTATGGTGACAAATGCCAGAGCCAAGATCTACCCCAAGAGTCTCAACCCCAACACCCAACCCTCACCTGCTCTGCTCTTCTACCGTACATTGAAAACCAGAGATCTCCATTCCTGCTGCCCCAGGGACTCTCTCAACCCTACGACACCATTCTCATTGCACACAGAGCTTTAAGCTTAGATGCTAGAAGTGAACTGAACATTCCCCGATAGGAAGGCAAAGTCTGATCTAGTCATTGATGAAAATGAAGTTCACGAAGAGTTTTGAGTAAGAAAGGGCAACTACTGCCTTATAAAAATGAGAAAAACAGGCCAGACATGGTGGCTCACACCTGTAATCCCAGAACTTTGGGAAGCCAAGGCGGGCAAATCACCTGAGGTCAGCAGTTTGAGACCAGCCTGGTCAACATGGTGAAACCCTGTTTCTACTAAAAATACAAAAATTATCCAGGTGTGGTGGCAGATGCCTGTGATTCTAGCTACTCAGGAGGCTAGGCAGGAGAATCACTTGAAACCAGGAGGCAGAGGTTGCAGTGAGCCAAGCTTGCGCCACTGCACTCTAGCCTGGGTGACAGTGAGACCCCATCTGGGAAAAAAAAAAAAAAAAGGAGAAAAATAAAAACAGCATACCAAAATTACACAGACAGTATGGCTTCAACTGCAACTGACAGAAAAAAATTGCACTATTTTTATTAAGTAGAAAGTTAAGAAGGTTAGCTCTGGGTGGCTGACTTTGAGGGAGAGGTTATGCTATGCACTTTTCAGTACTTCCCAATTTTTCTACAATAAGCACACATTACTTTTATAATGAAGAAAACATTTAAATAAGAAATGGGCAGCAGGGAAGCAGCATCTGTCTTCTCCACCCCAAAATGTCCTTTTGGAAGTATGACGGGTGGTCCTGACCCACCACGGGTGCCTCCTTAACACCACCCAACCCTGTCACCTGCTTCCTGCCACCATCTCTCCTCTCCCAAGCCTACTTGTATATTCTTACTTATCCAAGCCCAAGCTGAGGCAAGCCCCACCTTCTTCAAGAAGCTTGTCTTGACCATTCCCAGCCAACTATTAGGTTAGACATATGACATTGCCATTCTTGTATTCCAGACACCGTCTCCTCTGGGTAATTTCATATGACTCAATCTATTCATTGCAACCTCCTTCTCCTGGGTTCAAGCGATTCTCCTGCCTCAGCCTCCCAAGTAGCTGGGACTACAGGCATGTGCCACCATGCCTAGCTAATTTTTGTATTTTTAGTAGAGACGGGGTTTCACCATGTTAGCCAGGATGGTCTCGATCTCTTGAACTCGTGATCTGCCCACCTTGGCCTCCCAAAGAGCTGGGATTACAGGCGTGAGCCACCGCGCCCAGCCGGCTCACCTGATCTTCTCATGAAACTTTGGCCTGTTCCCAGGTCTGGGACGCACAACTGCATATGGGGAGTTTTCTGTCTGGGACTGTCTCTCTTGCGTCATGTGGGATCCTGCCTTAAGTCACTCTTCTTAGTACACTGGCTTACATTATATTCAGTCTGGTTGTGAACATTATTAAAAATAAAGTCACTACCTCGCTAGCCACAGACCTTCCTCACTCATAAGCACCTGCTTGGGTTTTGCACTTGGCCTTGGAGGCAGAGACGGGAGTCCCTGCCCCAAAGTTTACAGAGAGAGAAAGAGCCTTGGATAGGCATGAACCCAACCAGGGAAGGCTAACACCTTGTAGGCACCCATCTCTTTAATGTGCTGAATATCTGCCCATCAGTCCTTTTGCAGGGCAAGAGCTAGATGGACCTGTCTTTAAATCTAAGTCTGTCTTTCGTAAGCAGGTGGACTTGGCCAAGCCACTCAACCTCTCTAAGCCTCAGTGTCCTCATTTAGAAATTAGAAGTAGTCATAGCCCCTACTGCAGATCCTGTGTGAGGACTAACTGGGAGTACATGTGAACATTTATCACCATGCTATACATAGGCACACTCAAGAAACTCTCCCGGCCTGGCACAGTGGCTCACACCTGTAATCCCAGTGCTTTGGGAGGCTGAGGCGGGTGGATCACAAGGTCAGGAGTTCAAGAGCAGCCTAACCAACATGGTGAAACCCTGTCTCTATTAAAAATACAAAAAAAAAAATTAGACAGCATGGTGGTACATGCCTGTAATGCCAGCTGATCAGGAGGCCAAGGCTGGAGAATCACTTGAACCCACAAGATGGAGGTTGCAGTGAGCCAAGATCGCGCCACTGCACTCCAGCCTGGGTGACAGAGCAAGACTCCATTTCAAAAAAAAAAAAGAAAAAAGAAACACTCCCTTGTGAACCAGGCAGAGCAGAAACTATTACTCCCTTTATTTCCTAATGAAGAAACTGAACTCAAGAAAGTCTAAGTGACTTTTCTGAGACCAAGTGGCGCTGATATTAAAACCTTGGTCTCCTAAGCCCAGCGTGTGCTGTGTTCTAGGCTAACATCTGCTGATTCTAAAAGCACACAAACATTTAAGGCTCACTGGTGCAACTCCTAAGGAAATTTCCAAACACATTTGCTACCTCGTCACTACCTGGGATAACTTTGGAAGGGCCCACAAAGAATTCAGCACTGCCATTTCCCCGTGATGATGACTGGCTGGCCATATGCTTGCCTAGTTTCCCATCTGCTCCACATACGGCAAGAGGGAAAGCGTGCCTACCTGCCGGCAGAGGGGCTCAGCTCCTCTCTAATGGCCCTCTGGAATGATACTCTCACATCAGCTCAGGAAATTCCACCTTCCCCATACGTCTTGGAAATGGTTCCCTCTCAACAGACTTCCCACAAATAAGGCTTTTGCTGGTTACTTCTGACTTAATGCTTATACATTTTCAAATGGAAGAGAGTTGTCTGGTTTTACTTTTTGCACATAAAATAATGCACTTATCATTAGTCATCTCCTGCCTGCTCACATTTGAAAATGTATGCACATTTTTCTAGTTTGCTATCATCTGAAACCTGAGACCTTTCAAGGTATGGGGAACACAGTGTATCTTGAAGCCAGGAACCTCGGACAAGTTGTTGTGGCTTTTTATAGCCTCCAGTGATAATAGGATGACAGTTTGGTTCTTCACTTTTTGAAAAGATGATGAAACTTCTGGCCTTTGCTCCAGAAAAAATACACATAGGCACAAAATCACAGATACCCTTTAAGACTTCATGCATTCCAGATAGAAAAACAGCTCCATAACAAACCTGCTCATATACCCGCGACCCTGAAATAAAAGTTGGAAGAAAGAAAAAAAGGTTTTGAATATTGTGCCAAGGATTCAGAATAAAGACTGTGGCACATTCATTAGAGAAGAGCAAAAAAAAAAAAAAAA